AAAGGTATGCTTTGAGAATTGCATACAATGTAAAGCAAATACTTGAAGTAAACAAATAGATGATATGCCAAATAACATGCAACTAGACTTGAGAGGGCATTGCAGAGTAGTTGCATACAAAGTTCAAAGTTAGACGGTTACCTGTGACTTGCATTCCTGCAGAGCTCAGGGCCTACCATGTACACATTGTAGTATAATTTGTATGCAACTTGTGTGCGATACCCTCTCAAGTCTAGTTGCGCGTTATTTGGCATATCATCTATTCAAAAAAGCGTTTCGGAGACAGCAACTTTAATATGGCAAGCAAGAGTACTAACCATGCATTATTACAATAGTGACAAACAGTGACAAACATGCGAGAGAAATGTGAATGTGAAATGTACATGTCAAAAGAAGAAGAAGAAGTGTTCAGATCGGTAAGCAAATTCACTTCTACCAAGAGTCCATCAACCCAAGGGTGTGCAACTGGGGTCTGGCTGCTGTAGGCCCACTGCGCGGCGGAATTCCAACATAACGTCATGCCGCTGAGGCACAGAGGACAAAAATCTGCATTCCGCGGTGCTTGGATTTTTTGTTTGGCACCAGGGAGTAGTACAAGCGCAACGAACGTGTACGTCATTTTTGATGTAATGTTGGAATTCTGCCGCGCGGACCCCATGTACAGAGTTCCAAACTCTTGGGGTTATGGACGCCTGCTTCTACTTACCCTTCTGGCAATTGTCTCCGGTGAATCCCTTCGGGCAGATGCATTTGCCTTTGTCGTCACACTGACCCTGGTTCAAACACTTGCACACTGCAGGAGCCACCGCATACACGCAACATGGCGTGAAACAGAGAAAATACACGGCTTGGTTACGCAATGAGCAGTGGAGATAGAGAAATTAGACTACACAAAGTTATCAGGCAATTTCCGCTTGCAGGCAAACTGGGGCGTGAACACTGTTGAAGCACTGAAGCCAGCACTCGAAAATAGTACTAGGACAAAAACACATGTAACCGTTAGTAGATCTACTCGTAACAGCCATTCATAAACAAATATGATACAATTCGCCTGTGGGGATTGCCCATTTCAAAATTTAAATAATAATAATAATAATAATAATAATAGGTCAGACTCGGATGGAAAGGCAAGGATTAAAAAATTAAAAGAGAGGACCCAAGGTTTACAAGTTATGCGTTTTTGTGTCAAACACTAACGATATAAGCAGGATACAGTCACGTTCATAATAGTTCCTAACTAAAGCTGTGTTCACAACTGGCGCGTGTACGCGTGAAACCACGCGTTTGTGCGTATTTTTGCTGGCTTTTGGGGCGCCATGCGTACGGAAACGCGCCGAAATGGAAATTCCAACATGTTGGAATTTTCAGCGCGTATCAGGCGCATACCAGCGTACATGCCAGTCACTTTGACTGACGGGGTCAAAAAACTAGTACTCGAAGGTGTCGCACGCGCTAAATACGACTCGGATTGCTGTTTTTTGTGAAAGGCTGAGCGCGTTTGGGCACGCTTGAACCGCAAGCGTACCGCGTCCACGCGCCAGTTGTGAACACAGCTTAACGCATTCCAATACGAAGCATTAGGTCGTTGAATGTCAGTATCACATCAGTCAGTGTTCTGCTAATCGCTGCATGCTCTGACTCACCCGTATCATGCTGATATTGGACACAACACGCATAACTTGTAAACCAGTCGTTTAATTTTAAATATAGTAAGGTGGAATCCTGATAATTCGAACCCCAAAAAGCCAAGGAAGAACTTCCAATCGTCGGGGTATTCAAATTATCCAAACATGTACCCACAACACTATGTGCTATACTAAATGACATTCTGTAGATTCCCTGAGCCCCCCCCCCCCCCCCCGCCCACACCTGTTGAATTAGATATCACAGGACTTGTTAGCACAAGCCGCATTGACACAAGTCGTCTCAAGGCATGTTCTTAGGCAAATGCTATAATTTTATCGCGTTGCTTTTAAAAGTTCAAGACATCCCACTTACTGACACAGAGGATTTGGGCTCGGTGATTGCTTGTGGTGTTCACAAACCTCTGTTTTCCCTCGCTAAACGTTACGGTTCTGTAAAGGGAGTTGCCGTTCACCACGATTGGTTTGACGTGATAAGGTGCTTGCCGAATAGCCAATCTCTCTAGGAATCTCTCTCTTATTAATACATGGCCATGTGCTTGCAGCCAGGCCCCGGTTACGAGGTGAAGTCCGTACTGCTCACATGCCTCCTCTGCGAATTGCTCTGTGACGTAGGGCCTCAGCGCTGGCGTTGCTGTGGTGTATACTGAAGAGTTGACGTGAAGCCACTTGGCTACAAAACAAGGGCACATACAGTAGCCAATAGGGAATATGTATAACAAACGCAACGACAATAGCGAGCATTCCCAGATGGCCTAGAGTACTCAACACCACCAGGATGGAGCAATCCAGCAAAGGACTGCCTTAGCTCCACTTTGTGCATGAATCGAAGCATTACAACAATGGGTTGACCGATTCTCTCTGGTCTCTTCTGCCTTTTTGACAAAAGTTATGAAATAAACCTAAATAACAGGTGCTCACAATCTAGTCATGCTCAATAAAACCCGGTCATGGAAAGGTCAATGCTACCATTTCACCCCTATTCTGAGACAGGTTCAGGTGTCGGCCAATATTTGCAGGCATGGGGCTGGGTGGACTTCATTGAGCAGCACCGTGCCATAGTTGGGAATCACCCAGCGGTTATACCAAGAGTACATAACCCCCCGGAGTGTGCAACTTCCACATACCCTGCTTTCCCGACAGACTTTCAAGTTGACGTCATTAATTATGGGGCTGGGGAGACTTCATTGAGCAGCACCATGCCATAGTTGCGGATTACTCGGTGGTCAAACGAAGGGAGTAGTATGACGCCGGGTTACATAAGCATATGACAGAAGTGTTTCGATTGGTCCCGTCAAGAGTACATAACCCCCCAGAGTGTGCAACACCTGATCCAGCTGCGCATAGGGTCTTGGTCGAGCGGAATTGGATCTTTGCGTCATAATACCGTACACATCTGAGGGGAACCCGGGTCTTGCGCTGGCGTGGAGTGTACGAATGACATCAGAAGATCCGATTCCGCTCGACCAAGACCCGATGCAGAGCTGGATCGGCGTTGCACACTCTGGGGGGTTATGTACTCTTGGTTCCGTGTGTGTGGGTCTGAACCTGGCTATAACGATCAGTTTCCAATTGAACTCAGAAACCTCGGTTGTAATAACTCTTGCCGTGCCTACCCTATCCATTCGTCCCTGGCTACTCAACATTTCTCTCACTCGTTCATATGATCACAATGCAAAAGCCTACCTTCGCAGATGACATCATGATGGCTTGCTCCATTACTATCATATAACTCTTCTCTTAACTCGTTCTTGCCCTGCTGGTATATGATATTTTGGTCATCCTCCTCGAGCGATGCCGATATTGAGATAGGGTTGCTGTCACCGCTCGCCATCATCTCGAGATGGCTTGCTCCACTACTATCATGTAACTCCTTTCTTAACTTGTTCTTAACTAGTTCTTGCCCTGACGATAGGAAGATAGGGTTGCTGTCACCGCTCGCCATCATCTCGCCATCAAGATGGCTTGCTCCACTACTATCATGTAACTTGTTCTTAACTAGTTCTTGCCCTGACGATAGGATGATAGGGTTGCTGTCACCGCTCGCCATCATCTCGCCATCAAGATGGCTTGCTCCACTACTATCATGTAGCTTGTTCTTAACTAGTTCTTGCCCTGACGATAGGGAGATAGGGTTGCTGTGACCGCTCGCCATCATCTCGCTTGATCCACTACTATCATGTAACTCTTCTCTTAAGTTGTTCTTGCCCTCCTTGTACATGACATGCTTGCCATCCCTCAAGAAAGATGTCCATATTGTGATAGGGCTGTTGAAATTGCTTGCCATCATCTTGTTGAGCAATTCTTCCATGCAGTCTCGCACGCCAAGCGTCTGACTGGTGAAGGCATTATAGTCTACCACGTCGTATCCTCTTCTCTTGCACATCTGGCGGGCATGCGTCAAGTTCGTTTTCTTCTGGCAGCTGTCACCGTCGAGGTGTGGATGACACGGCAAGCCGGCGAGAGCCATCCAGGTGTACATTGCCTTATCTGTACCCAGGCACTTTGTCTTGAAAGCTGAACATAACACAGTACACATGCAAGACACGGTCAGGTGAAATAGCACGCAACTGGACCACAGCCTAACAAGACGTACACTTGCTCAGTAGGGATACCGCAGTCCTTTTCAGAGTTTGTTTACGACAATGATCAGAAATATCATCGGACCACAGCTATACAGTAAAACCTGGTGTAAGCGACCTCTGGGTTTAGCGACCACCTGCTCTTAACATGGACCATTTTTCCATGCACTGATAGTTCTACACAGACACTGTGGGACCTGGTTCTAAAGACCACCTAGCTTTAATGACCGCTTTTGCTTGCACCGTGGAGTGGTCGTTTAAACCAGGTTTTACTGTAGTTCTGGTGATGGCAGTCAATTTTTTTCCTGCAGACTTTTCCGCTTGCAGGTCCATGGAGTTAGCTATCCTGTTGTATAGTGCCGGTGGGCCTTGTGAACTCGGACACTGGCGTGTACGTCGTGCGGATGGAGAATGCCACAAATGTAGAGACCCACCAAGCGCAGCTCACAGCCAAAATAATCATAATGAACAGCAGCCGAGCTTTCAACTACTGCAAATCGCCCAATATTCGGGCCACTAAATTTTCGCGATTTCTTAGAACCAACAAATTTGCGATGGCAAAAGGTCGCGAAGCACAGGGGCCACCTACATACACCCACTGTTGAAGCTCGATTTCACGCTGGTTAATATTCGCATTACGCTCTTCTCGCGAAAATAGCGAACATTAATCCGTCGCAAACATTAGGCATTTTACAATATTCCAGAACACATGAACAAAACAGGGATTTACTTCATACGGCATATACTTACTGTGCTGACACTGATCTCCATGGAAACCTTTCCGGCAGATGCAGGTGCCATTTTCAGTGCACTGGCCGTCATTCAAGCATTTGCATGCTGCAGCAGTGATTGGGAATATTCACGCATTTTCCAAAGCACACGAAAAGAAACAGAATAACGGACTGTCGAGAAATTGTTCACATGCCCTTGCCCATCATCATGGACGCCTCAAACCAGCTCTTTTAACCACTCACAAGGGTGTCCAACTCCCCATATCAATATTTTGCCGAAGGGGTAGGGGCGCAGCATTGACTTCCGTGTACGCTGCTTTACACTTCAAGTGCAGAGATGTATTAATTTGTAGCTTAGATCAGTTTTTTTTACAATGCAACACAATATTGTAGCTTCTTCGCCCCTTTTGGTGTAATCTAGTTGCAGTGTTCAGATTAGCCAGAATTCTTGTAGCCGCCATATGCTCTCCCAATCAGTTTAAAATTATCACATTCCGGCTACAAACTGAGCATATGTTGCAGAATAGGTCGGAGAAGCCCGCATGAGGACTCGGAAGTTGTTTTCTTCTCTTCAAAATACAACATTCAAGCATGCGTGAGAGCATAGGTCATACATTCTCTGACATGCCTATGTAGCCCAGCATAGGTATAGTATTTTAATCAAGGTCTGTCGCCTACCTGCCCTCGCAATGGATATACTTACTTCCTCGTCTTTACTATGAAGCACTCAAACCACGGCTGCCACTAGCCACTGTTTCTCCCGGTTTATTGCACCCACTCTGATTGATAACACATAGTACTGTCTCTCTCTTATTGGCTACGGCCACCGTGAGAATAAAGATAATAATAATGCCTACATACATTACAGCAGCTTTCTTCAGCACTTACCTTCTGTGCAGTTAGGTCCATCTAGTCTGGCCGTACATTCGCATACTTTGTTCTTTTTCACCCACGGGTGCGTACACACAACTGCATCACACATCGCAAGGAAGGGGAAGAAGAGGAAGAGAGTAAATCAGGCAGACACGAAGTCAGACAGACTAAGGTTACGTTTGGTTGGTCACATTCCCAAATGGGAATCACTTGGAATCACTCGGAATCATTCTCGCCCGTTTGGCTGGTCAAAAAAGTGCGTTAGGCTGGTCACATTCCACATGATTCCAGAATGGGAATCGCTGAGAATGATTCTTTTTGGAGAATGATCATTCCACCTCACATGCTGGAATGATCATTCTCATTCCGGAATCAAAAATGATAATGGCTGCGACGAGCCAAACAATGTAGCACCAGGTTCAAGTGCCTCAAATCATGCACTCAGAAGTACCTTGACTCTCTCAAGGAAACTAGAGTCGGGTAAAAGAAAAGACAGCCGCCGTTCCACAACGACATCATGGAATTGCTATGTCAAGTGATTCCTAATTGATTCTGGCGCGTTAGTTTGGTCAGGTGATTCTTGCCGATTCCCATTCCAGAATGGTTCTCATTTACATTCTGAAAATGCCCAACCAAACGCAACCTAAGGTTGCATTTGGTTGGGCAATTCCGGAATGATATTGACCACCAAACAATAGGAGGACAGAGGAAGTGTTTTACTCAGAGTTTCACGCACTAAGCGATCATCAGAAAACAGCTGTTTTCTGATGATCGCTTAGTGTGTGAAACTCTGAGTAAAAACACTTCCTCTGTCCTCCTATTGCTTGAACCAGCTCTACCACTCGGTATTGAGCACTCTCTTGGACAGCCTGGAACCTCTCTGTTTTTGATATTGACCACCCGTGATTCTGGAATGTTAATGATAGCTTGCATGCCGTCCTACCGGTAAGACCACGCGTCCTACCGGTAGAACCCAAGAAATCGCGCTGCAAAAGTGCTGTTGCTTGAGAATCTTGTTGAAACAATTGTTGAGATGAGGTCCTTGTAGGACAAAGTAATGGCACAAATGCAAGACTATATCCAGGGCATTGCATACCGTACTTCCCCACATATAAGCGCATGCGCTTATAAGTGAAAATTTGCTGCAAAAAAGATCTTTGGCTGTGTAAACATGTTCGGGTAGAAGCCCATGCGCTTATATGCGCAATACAGGTTTGTCTGTGTCCTAAGCAATGGTGTCATCATACTACTTAGTGGTATATTTCGCTCCCACCTTTTCACCAATAGTGTTCACATATAAGCACATGCGCTTATAATCGAGGGGTGCGCTTATATCCGGACATAAGCACATGCGCTTATATGTGCGGAAGTACGGTATGTGCAATTTTATCAATTGTCAAAATGGGCGCCATGTTCCTGTCGGAGCGCTTGCAACTCCGTCCAAAGTGAATTTCGACCATGGCATATCGATTGCCATGGCAGTGGAATGCAAAATTCCACACCTTGTTTACATGGTTACCATGGACTGTTGCCATAGAATTTCTTATATGCCTTGTACGATCACGTCCAAAATGCGTGGACTCCTTCATTAGTGAGTCAAAGTACTTCTCAGTGCATGATTAGAAAATCCCAAGGGAACTGAAAAAGAATACTTGAAGAAAACTAAATCTCTTCTACTTACTGAGTTGGCACTTGTCTCCGGTGAATCCTTTCGGGCAGCTGCATTCACCTTTGTTGTCACACTGACCCTGATTCAAGCACGTGCATGCTGCAACGCCCATCAATAAACGCATGCACGGAGTGGCATAGATAAATGCACGGGATGTTACTCTATGCTTAGTGGAAATCGAGACATTTATCATTTACTCGGAACTAGGTCTCCGGACCTGGTGAGAAGGCAGAAATGCCTGTTCACTTGGTGAACTTGGTGAACAACCATCGTGAGAATAATGAATTCAAACAACAACGACGACGACGACGCCGACGACGCCGACGACGACGACGACGACGACAACAACAACAACAACAACAACAACAACAACAACAACCACAACAACAACAACAACAACAACAACAACAACAACAACAACAACAACACTCGTGAGAATAAAAGATTTCAAACATTTGACTGAGGTGGGCATGATCGACAGGGCGAATCCCGAGCAAGTGCGTTCCGAGCAAGTGCGTGATCAATTGGCCTGATCTGGCCGAATCCGGGAGTCGCTGGAGTGGAAATGGACGTTGGCGTTTTTGGCAGCCTTCACAGAATTTTTGTACGACATGCGTGCATTTTGCGTACTACACCGTTGCTTTGTTCGATTGGGCCAGTGTTGCTCAGACTGTACTGCCTGCTCGCACTCAATCAATGACACCTTTGGGCACGAGTTAACACAATATAAGAACCAATTAGCCGTAGGTAATGTCAGCCATCTCCAGCAAATGCTTCATCCAAGGTACAAGGCTTTCCATGACTTTCACATGCGCATTCTCAGATAAAAACAAAACAAAAACCCGAATGGCTCGGTGTCTTACCCTTTTCACAATATTGACCATAGGTTGAGGTGCGGTTGCACACACAACTCAGGTTTGGTCCAAGAAAACCGGTCTCACAGGTCTCTGTGCAGAACAGGACAACAAAAAGTCAATTGCATTACTCTCTAAAGGCCGAATACAACTTTCTGCGACGCAACACGCGATTTGCGACAGTTGCGACAAGAATCTGCCTGTCGTGAGCTGTCGCAAGCTGTCCATTGTGCGTACAAGAAATGCTTGAATACGATGTTTGCACATAGCAAGGTCACATCGTACATGGTGGCACATTATTAGCACAAGCCCTGTTCGCACAGTTTACGCTGGCACAGGACACATGTTACACAAATGCACAACAGTCCTCATCGTGCTGATGTCACACACAAGGGCAGAGCACTACTTGCGCATGGTCAGCCATTTAAGAAGCCTTGTCTCACTTACTGACACAGAGAATCTGGGCTTGAGTTTTTTTTGTGGCATTCTGAAACGTCTGCTTTTGCGCGCTAAACGTTACGGTTCTGTGAAGGGAACTTCCATTGGCTCGGATTGACGCGACGTGGTAAGGTGCTTGCTTGTGCTTATGCAGTAAGGCCAATGTCCCTAGCCAGCGCTCTGTTAACACATGGCCATGTTCTTGTAGCCAATCCTTGGTAATGAGATGAAATCCGTACTCCTGACATGCGTCCTCTGCAAACCGCTCAGTCACCCTGGGTCTGAGTGCTGGAGTTGCTGCGGCGTATACAGAATCGTTGGCATGGAGCCATTTGGCTGCAAAACAAGGGCATATACAGTTGCGGGTAGAAACATCATGAAACAAATCATGAAACAAATCTACGAATAAGGGGGGATTGAAATCAAACGCCCCGCTCCATGACACCCGATCTCATGGATACGTCTCACCCAATCTCATGGATACGTAAGTGGCCAGAGCTAGTGAGTAGTTCAATGTTCACAGGCCTGGGGCTTGGCATACTTCATAGAGTAGCACCGTGTCACATTTGCAAATCACTCAGCGATTTTATCAAGGGAGTAGTATAACACCGGGTTACGACACAAGCATACGCATGAAATGTTTCTTTGCAGATGAAATTAATTGGTTACTCATGCGGGGATATGACCCTGGCTAGAGCGGTAGGTTTCTCTTTGAAGAGGGAAACCTCGGTTGCATTCACTACTCCCGCCGTCTCTGTTTCATTCCTCCTGTCCCACTACTATCACTGGACACAGCCTTTAACCCATTCAGCTCTCTATGTATATGTTATCGCATGGTTGCAAGGGCCTTATGGCATATTATTGCCCCGAGAGGTTAGCCCGAGGGCCGTAGGCCCGAGGGCTAACCTCGAGGGGCAATAATATGCCATAAGGCCCGCAGCAACCATGCGATAACGAATTTATCACATGGCCCACAGAGCAGACCATTGGGCTGCTGTTGAAATTGGCCCAAATGCCAACATATTATGACCACAATGTATATTGATGTGCTATCATTATCAAAACAGGAACAATGAAGATATTTCTCCTACACCCTAACAAAAAGTCTGCTACAGGCCATCAGAGAGTATACAGTACTGAAAGACGGAGACAGAAAAAAGTGCCGGCACCGCATCGTCATAGCAATAGACATGGCAGTGACTTTGCGAGGATCTGAAAACGCACGACGCTGAGTTGAATTTGTGTTATTTCAAATAATTGTTTGTGATCACAGTGCCACTTCGAGCAGAACTGAATCTTATCCAAAAGCTTACCGACGGTCAGACTGCCAACATGACTGAACAAATGATCCCTGAAAGCACCACACGGCAGACGTCCGAGGCCATGTCCATTGCCGGGATGTCCATCTCCAAAAAGAATTCCATCTTCGTCTCAATGCTACACTGCGACTCGTCGTAGAGTCGTACATTCTACAGAGTCGTCGTAGTCACGCGAGGAAAGCTGAGATCGCCACTTTCGACCACGCCTTCACATGCCACCCTGCGCCGTACAGTCACCATGCCCACCATGTTCACATCCCGTAGATTTCACGCGTACAGTCTCAGTCAGGGTTGTCACTGACAACGGGCTTTGGACGCGGGCGTTGGACTGATTTATTAGACACCCTTAGCAAAAAACGTTATGTTGTAACGGTATTATCGTAAGGGGGGAAATACCGTGATTTGGGTTCGACCTTTAGCAAGATGCACGCTATTTTTAGTACGCTGTTGCCACGAGAATAGCTTTGATTTCGCGCCGTACAACCATTTTTGTCACCATATACGCGATACAAGGTGAAATGCGTACGGACTATGCAATATTTGGCCAAAACACGTACCGTTGGTCACAACGATAAATCAGCCCCCATAACGTTTATACGCTGCAGCTTCAACGCTATTTGGGTGATCAAGGTACGAGTACCGTAAAAAATAGCGTTACCGTTGTTTGCTAAGGGTGTCTAATGCCCGCTCATACAGACCAGTGATTGGCCCGATCCAAGGAAACACTCACGTGACATGTGATAAATATATTTATCACTCTCTTATTATTGACCCCCACAGAAACTTGTGATCTCTAAGCGGTCAAATATCAGCATATATTGACCGCTTATACTGACCACTTATTATTGACCACTTATTATTCACTTATTATTGACCACTTATTATTGACCACTTATTATTGACCACTTTAATAGCCCGAGGACTTAGAACTTTTTCCTCAACTTCGAAAAAAATCTGAACTGAAAGAAGAAAAATCTGAAGCCAAATGTTGGGATTTTAACCCAAACTGTCAGATTCTCAATCAAGGAACTTGGGGAACATACTACAAGTGACAACTGAAAACTTCTATGTACTATTACCCGAAGGACGTACCCAGAGTGCTGACAGTGCTCAACACCACAAAGGCAGAGCGTAATACACAACAGAACAACAAGGACAATCAAGGCTGGTTTGCTGCTACTTTAAGTTTCATGCTCACGCAATCATCAGGCAATAGTGCCTGATGATTGCGTGAGCATGAAACTTAAAGTAGCAGCAAACAAGCCTTGATTGTCCTTGTTGTTCCGTTGTGTACTATGTACTATTACAATAGTATTCCTTTCTTCTAGGGGTGAAACAATTATACCGAATACTCGAGTACTCGCTCGGTTTTTTCAGAAATAATCAAAGCATTACAACTATGAGTTAACCGATTCTCTCTGGTCTCTTCTGCCTTTTTGACAAAAGTTATGAAATAAATCTAAATAACAGGTGCTCACAATCTAGTCATGCTCAATAAAACCCGGTCTAATGGAAAGGTCAATGCTACCATTTCACCCCTATTCTGAGACAGGTTCAGGTACATAACCCCCCAGAGTGTGCAACGCCTGATCCAGCTGCGCATAGGGTCTTGGTCGAGCGGAATCAGATCTTTGCGTCATAATACAGTACACATCTGAGGGGAACCCGGGAAGTCGCGGGTACTCTCGGATCAAAAACAATGGTGCCCTGCCTCGAGACTGGCCTTGCGCTGGCGTGGAGTGTACGAATGACATCAGAAGATCCGATTCCGCTCGACCAAGACCCGATGCAGAGCTGGATCGACGTTGCACACTCTGGGGGGTTATGTACTCTTGGTTCCGTGTGTGTGGGTCTGAACCTGGCTATAACGATCAGTTTCCAATTGAACTCAGAAACCTCGGTTGTAATAACTCTTGCCGTGCCTACCCTATCCATTCGTCCCTGGCTACTCAACATTTCTCTCACTCGTTCATATGATCACAATGCAAAAGCCTACCTTCGCAGATGACATCATGATGGCTTGCTCCATTACTATCATATAACTCTTCTCTTAACTCGTTCTTGCCCTGCTGGTATATGATATTTTGGTCATCCTCCTCGAGCGATGCCGATATTGAGATAGGGTTGCTGTCACCGCTCGCCATCATCTCGAGATGGCTTGCTCCACTACTATCATGTAACTCCTTTCTTAACTTGTTCTTAACTAGTTCTTGCCCTGACGATAGGAAGATAGGGTTGCTGTCACCGCTCGCCATCATCTCGCCATCAAGATGGCTTGCTCCACTACTATCATGTAACTTGTTCTTAACTAGTTCTTGCCCTGACGATAGGATGATAGGGTTGCTGTCACCGCTCGCCATCATCTCGCCATCAAGATGGCTTGCTCCACTACTATCATGTAACTTGTTCTTAACTAGTTCTTGCCCTGACGATAGGGAGATAGGGTTGCTGTGACCGCTCGCCATCATCTCGCTTGATCCACTACTATCATGTAACTCTTCTCTTAAGTTGTTCTTGCCCTTCTTGTACATGACATGCTTGCCAGCCCTCAAGAAAGATGTCCATATTGTGATAGGGCTGTTGAAATTGCTTGCCATCATCTTGTTGAGCAATTCTTCCATGCAGTCTCGCACGCCAAGCGTCTGACTGGTGAAGGCATTATAGTCTACCACGTCGTATCCTCTTCTCTTGCACATCTGGCGGGCACGCGTCAAGTTCGTTTTCTTCTGGCAGCTGTCACCGTCGAGGTGTGGATGACACGGCAAGCCGGCGAGAGCCATCCAGGTGTACATTGCCTTATCTGTACCCAGGCACTTTGTCTTGAAAGCTGAACATAACACAGTACACATGCAAGACACGGTCAGGTGAAATAGCACACAACTGGACCGCAGCCTAACAAGACGTACACTTGCTCAGTAGGGATACCGCAGTCCTTTTCAGAATTTGTTTACTACAATGATCAGAAATATCATCGGACCATCACAGCTATACAGTAAAACCTGGTGTAAGCGACCTCTGGGTTTAGCGACCACCTGCTCTTAACATGGACCATTTTTCCATGCACTGACAGTTCTACACAGACACTGTGGGACCTGGTTCTAAAGAGTTAGCTGTCCTGTTGTATTGTGCCGGTGGGCCTTGTGAACTCGGACACTGGCGTGTACGTCGTGCGGACGGAGAATGCCACAAATGTAGAGACCCACCAAGCGCAGCTCACAGCCAAAATAATCATAATGAACAGCAGCCGAGCTTTCAACTACTGCAAATCGCCCAATATTCGCGTCACTAAATTTTCGCGATTTCTTAGAACCAACAAATTTGCGATGGCAAAAGGTCGCGAAGCACAGGGGCCACCTACATACACCCACTGTTGAAGCTCGATTTCACGCTGGTTAATATTCGCATTACGCTCTTCTCGCGAAAATAGCGAACATTAATCCGTCGCAAACATTAGGCATTTTACAATATTCCAGAACACATGAACAAAACAGGGATTTACTTCATACGGCATATACTTACTGTGCTGACACTGATCTCCATGGAAACCTTTCCGGCAGATGCAGGTGCCATTTTCAGTGCACTGGCCGTCATTCAAGCATTTGCATGCTGCAGCAGTGATTGGGAATATTCACGCATTTTCCAAAGCACACGAAAAGAAACAGAATAACGCATTTTCCAAAGCACACGAAAAGAAACAGAATAACGGACTGTCGAGAAATTGTTCACATGCCCTTGCCCATCATCATGGACGCCTCAAACCAGCTCTTTTAACCACTCACAAGGGTGTCCAACTCCCCATATCAATATTTTGCCGAAGGGGTAGGGGCGCAGCATTGACTTCCGTGTACGCTGCTTTACACTTCAAGTGCAGAGATGTATTAATTTGTAGCTTAGATCAGTTTTTTTTACAATGCAACACAATATTGTAGCTTCTTCGCCCCTTTTGGTGCAATCTAGTTGCAGTGTTCAGATTAGCCAGAATTCTTGTAGCCGCCATATGCTCTCCCAATCAGTTTAAAATTATCACATTCCGGCTACAAACTGAGCATAATATTATGTTGCAGAATAGGTCGGAGAAGCCCGCATGAGTTGTTTTCTTCTCTTCAAAATACAACATTCAAGCATACGTGAGAGCATAGGTCATACATTCTCTGACATGCCTATGTAGCCCAGCATAGGTATAGTATTTTAATCAAGGTCTGTCGCCTACCTGCCCTCGCAATGGATATACTTCCTTCCTCGTCTTTACTATGAAGCACCCAAACCACGGCTGCCACTAGCCACTGTTTCTCCCGGTTTATTGCACCCACTCTGATTGATAACACATAGTACTGTCTCTCTCTTATTGGCTACGGCCACCGTGAGAATAAAGATAATAATAATGCCTACATACATTACAGCAGCTTTCTTCAGCACTTACCTTCTGTGCAGTTAGGTCCATCTAGTCTGGCCGTACATTCGCATACTTTGTTCTTTTTCACCCACGGGTGCGTACACACAACTATTTTTCCATGCACTGACAGTTCTACACAGACACTGTGGGACCTGGTTCTAAAGACCACCTAGCTTTAATGACCGCTTTTGCTTGCACCGTGGAGTGGTCGTTTAAACCAGGTTTTACTGTAGTTCTGGTGATGGCAGTCAATTTTTTTCTGCAGACTTTTCCGCTTGCAGGTCCATGGAGTTAGCTGTCCTGTTGTATAGTGCCGATGGGCCTTGTGAACTCGGACACTGGCGTGTACGTCGTGCGGACGGAGAATGCCACAAATGTAGAGACCCACCAAGCGCAGCTCACAGCCAAAATAATCATAATGAACAGCAGCCGAGCTTTCAACTACTGCAAATCGCCCAATATTCGCGTCACTAAATTTTCGCGATTTCTTAGAACCAACAAATTTGCGATGGCAAAAGGTCGCGAAGCACAGGGGCCACCTACATACACCCACTGTTGAAGCTCGATTTCACGCTGGTTAATATTCGCATTACGCTCTTCTCGCGAAAATAGCGAACATTAATCCGTCGCAAACATTAGGCATTTTACAATATTCCAGAACACATGAACAAAACAGGGATTTACTTCATACGGCATATACTTACTGTGCTGACACTGATCTCCATGGAAACCTTTCCGGCAGATGCAGGTGCCATTTTCAGTGCACTGGCCGTCATTCAAGCATTTGCATGCTGCAGCAGTGATTGGGAATATTCACGCATTTTCCAAAGCACACGAAAAGAAACAGAATAACGGACTGTCGAGAAATTGTTCACATGCCCTTGCCCATCATCATGGACGCCTCAAACCAGCTCTTTTAACCACTCACAAGGGTGTCCAACTCCCCATATCAATATTTTTGCCGAAGGGGTAGGGGCACAGCATTGACTTCCGTGTACGCTGCTTTACACTTCAAGTGCAGAGATGTATTAATTTGTAGCTTAGATCAGTTTATTTACAATGCAACACAATATTGTAGCTTCTTCGCCCCTTTTGGTGTAATCTAGTTGCAGTGTTCAGATTAGCCAGAATTCTTGTAGCCGCCATATGCTCTCCCAATCAGTTTAAAATTATCACATTCCGGCTACAAACTGAGCATGATATTATGTTGCAGAATAGGTCGGAGAAGCCCGCATGAGTTGTTTTCTTCTCTTCAAAATACAACATTCAAGCATACGTGAGAGCCTAGGTCATACATTCTCTGACATGCCTATGTAGCCCAGCATAGGTATAGTATTTTAATCAAGGTCTGTCGCCTACCTGCCCTCGCAATGGATATACTTCCTTCCTCGTCTTTACTATGAAGCACCCAAACCACGGCTGCCACTAGCCACTGTTTCTCCCGGTTTATTGCACCCACTCTGATTGATAACACATAGTACTGTCTCTCTCTTATTGGCTACGGCCACCGTGAGAATAAAGATAATAATAATGCCTACATACATTACAGCAGCTTTCTTCAGCACTTACCTTCTGTGCAGTTAGGTCCATCTAGTCTGGCCGTACATTCGCATACTTTGTTCTTTTTCACCCACGGGTGCGTACACACAACTGCATCACACATCGCAAGGAAGGGGAAGAAGAGGAAGAGAGTGAATCAGCCAGACATGAAGTCAGACAGACTAAGGTTGCATTTGGTTGGGCAATTCCAGAATGATATTGACCACCCATGATTCTGGAATGTTAATGATAGCTTGCATGCCGTCCTACCGGTAAGACCACGGGTATTACCGGTAGAACCCAAGAAATCGCGCTGCAAAAGTGCTGTTGCTTGAGAATCTTGTTGAAACAATTGTTGAGATGAGGTCCTTGTAGGACAAAGTAATGGCGCAAATGCAAGACTATATCCAGGGCATTGCATATGTGCAATTTTATCAATTGTCAAAATGGGCGCCCATGTTTCTGTCGGAGCGCTTGCAACTCCGTCCAAAGTGAATTTCGACCTATTCGGCATATCGATTGCCGTTGCAGTGGAATGCAAAATTCCACACCCTGTTTCCATGGTTACCATGGACTGTTGCCATAGAATTTCTTATATGCCTTGTACGATCACGTCCAAAATGCGTGGACTCCTTCATTAGTGAGTCAAAGTACTTCTCAGTGCATGATTAGAAAATCCCAAGGGATCTGAAAAAGAATACTTGAAGAAAACTAAATCTCTTCTACTTAAATCTCTTCTACTTACCGAGTTGGCACTTGTCTCCGGTGAATCCTTTCGGGCAGCTGCATTCACCTTTGTTGTCACACCGACCCTGATTCAAGCACTTGCATGCTGCAACGCCCATCAATAAACGCATGCACGGAGTGGCATAGATAAATGCACGGGATGTTACTCTATGCTTAGTGGAAATCGAGACAATTATCATTTAGTCAGAACTAGGTCTCAAACATTTGACTGAGGTGGGCATGATCGACAGGGCGAATCCCGAGCAAGTGCGTTCCGAGCAAGTGCGTGATCAATTGGCCTGATCTGGCCGTATCCGGGAGTCGCTGGAGTGGAAATGGACGTTGGCGTTTTTGGCAGCCTTCACAGAATTTTTGTACGACATGCGTGCATTTTGCGTACTACACCGTTGCTTTGTTCGATTGGGCCAGTGTTGCTCAGACTGTACTGCCTGCTCGCACTCAATCAATGACACCTTTGAGCACGAGTTAACACATTATAAGAACCAATTAGCCGTAGGCAATGTCAGCCATCTCCAGCAAATGCTTCATCCAAGGTACAAGGCTTTCCATGACTTTCACATGCGCATTCTCAGATAAAAACAAAACGAAAACCCGAATGGCTCGGTGTCTTACCCTTTTCACAATATTGACCATAGGTTGAGGTGCGGTTGCACACACAACTCAGGTTTGGTCCAAGAAAACCGGTCTCACAGGTCTCTGTGCAGAACAGGACAACAAAAAGTCAATTGCATTACTCTCTAAAGGCCGAATACAACTTTCTGCGACGCAACACGCGATTTGCGACAGTTGCGACAAGAATCTGCCTGTCGTGAGCTGTCGCAAGCTGTCCATTGTGCGTACAAGAAATGCTTGAATACGATGTTTGCACATAGCAAGGTCACATCGTACATGGTGGCACATTATTAGCACAAACCCTGTTCGCACAGTTCACGCTGGCACAGGACACATGTTACACAAATGCACAACAGTCCTCATCGTGCTGATGTCACACACAAGGGCAGAGCACTACTTGCGCATGGTCAGCCATTTAAGAAGCCTTGTCTCACTTACTGACACAGAGAATCTGGGCTTGAGTTTTTTTTGTGGCATTCTGAAACGTCTGCTTTTGCGCGCTAAACGTTACGGTTCTGTGAAGGGAACTTCCATTGGCTCGGATTGACGCGACGTGGTAAGGTGCTTGCTTGTGCTTATGCAGTAAGGCCAATGTCCCTAGCCAGCGCTCTGTTAACACATGGCCATGTTCTTGTAGCCAATCCTTGGTAATGAGATGAAATCCGTGCTCCTGACATGCGTCCTCTGCAAACCGCTCAGTCACCCTGGGTCTGAGTGCTGGAGTTGCTGCGGCGTATACAGAATCGTTGGCATGGAGCCATTTGGCTGCAAAACAAGGGCATATACAGTTGCGGGTAGAAACATCATGAAACAAATCATGAAACAAATCTATGAATAAGGGGGGATTGAAATCAAGCGCCCCGCTCCATGACACTAGGGCTGAAACGAACATAAAATTTGAGTATTCGAACGTTCTTGATGTTAACGAACGAACGAACGAACATTCTCTAACATTCTCGTCGCACGTGCGTACTCGCGCACGAACCGGCATAGGCAAGAAAATAGTGGAATTTTTGAATACAGTATAGCAATAAACTTTTGTGGCACACAAATTTTGCGTTTTCATGAATGCGGCTGGTTTGTGATGAGAATATTTTGCGATTTTTACCTCTTTTTTAATCATGTAGTTGTGCTGTCTACAATGCACGTACGTGCTGAGCAGTTTGTGGCGATTTTTCTTCTCCAGAATGCGCAATGGCTGCAAAAGTAGCAAAATTTAATCACTTGCGAAAGTTTCCAACTTTACAGTACGTCTTTCAAAAGTTGAGGCACAATAGCCTCCAACTCAGCAACGCCATACTGAGGACCAGAACGTTGCGTCACAGCAACGTTTGTCATCAACTACTTGCTTCATGTTCAGTGTTGATGCCGTGGAAATAACTGCACTCCCAGAGACGACAGAAGAATGCTGAAAGTTACCGTAGTTGTGTTCTCAGGTGAGCATAGAGGTTGCTCGCCGTTTTGCCATACTAAACACACGCTGCGGGAAATCCTGCAGGTAGCTGACTTCTCATCCTAGGATTTGGTAAACTGATCCCAAACAACATGTTTTTAGGGGTTTATCGTACCGTACGCACATTCTCAAAGTTCGAATGTTCGTGAGAACTACGAATGTTCGTTCGCTGTGGCCTAACGAACGAATATTCGAATTGCTGTACCAAACAAGTGATTTACGAAGGCATGGTCTCCAGAAAAGCATGCTCTCTCCAAGCACCAGCTTTCGGTGTCCCAAAGGGGGAGGTGGGTGCTAAAACACAGGTATGAATCGGTTCGGAACCATAAAAGTAGATGTTGAGCATGCATATCAAAGAAACACACGTATTCACTTACTATGCTGACACTGGTCTCCATGGAAACCTTTCCGGCAGATGCAGGTGCCATCTTCAGTACACTGACCGTGATTCAAGCAATTGCACACTGCAGCAGTGATTGGGAATGTTCACATATTTCCCAAAACATACGAATAGGAACAGAACATCATAGCACATTGGATTCTCAAGTCGTTGTTGCCTGTATCTTGATCATCATGACATTGTATAAACCTCAACATCGCTACTACCACGACCACTAAGGGTGCATTCGGAAAAGTTGGAGACTCTCCGAAATGTTGAGAGCTGTTCTTATATCCTGTCCGAATTTAGGAGGCTCTCCAAAGCTCTCCAAGCTTCAGAGGTGGTTTGGGATCAGCGCATGCGAACTAGGCGTGTTGATCATGAGTGTACGCATTTCCCTGTTCACATACGCACAGCGCATACTATATTCGTGGCACTCAAGATCGCGGCCCGTTTGGCGCTTCGTTTTGCTCGACACGTGCAAAATATCTCCGAATTCTTCGAGACCCGTTCTTGAAGTATCCCAGTTTCTTCGACTTCTCTTTTCTTCTACTCCTAGAAGCTAGAGAATATAAGAATGCACACTAACACTCATTCACCAATCCCAGGTATATCCAACTTGTAATCAATTCTTGCACTTTGGTAGAACAATTGTTCACTTGACAGTAGTTGATAAGCTGCAGAACCAGGCATAAATGCTGGCAAGTACCTTTTTTCTTATTCTTTTATTCCTTTCCAGCAGGCGGGTACATTATATTCTTTGACACGCTGGTTAAAATGACAGCAGCTTTCTTTAGCCCTTACCTTCTATGCAGGTGGGTCCATCTAGTTTGGGTTTACATTCACATTCTTTGTTCTTTTTCACCCAGGGATGTGTACACACAGCTGCAATACATACCACACACAGAATAGAAACACAAAGAGCGGATCAGCCTTACACAAAAATGTACAGACAAAATGACGGACAGAGAGAGATAAATACTATGAGGACCTAACCCCCCCCCCCCCCCCACACACACACACACACATACACATGCACCAACAGCTCTTGATCTCCTCGACACTGTAGCTAAGACAAGTATCACATGAGACCTACGTAACGTCACTGGTCCAACACATGGCACTACTCTGGGCATGCCGAGTAAGGGGAGAATGCGTACAGCAAGAACAGAGTACATGTCCTATGCTTCTAGTTTACTGAATGCTTATCAATGACTGAGACCAAACATACATTACATCATGAATCATACACATTATTAGATACAGTTCAGTGGGACTACCACAACGATACCAGTAGGGCCCTTAGGCTGTTATCCAGCAGAAAACAGCACAAACAAACATTACGGACAAGCATTGAAAAAATTGTATGGCCAAATGGGCAAAAAAAATACCTTGACAACTGCCAATGTTCTGCCAGGATACAAATGCATCTTGGCAAACAGGCAGCGACCCATTGTGATAGTGTCCATCGTTGCATGTTACTGTGCCACTAGCCGACACCGAGGCAATGTTGTGACCACTACCATCAACCGTACAGGCTAATCATAAACAGAAATCACAAAGAAGGTGTATACACACATGAGAAAAGCTAGCAAAACACAACCAGCACAGGACAATCATCAAAATACACAACCATTCCAGGTGCAAGTCAGCGTACCTCAGTGCTATTTATCACCATTTCAACAAGTCTCCAAAAAATCACCTCTTGTTAGCGCACTTCAAATGTACATCTCTGAGGTACACATTCTCACGTGTGCATATGTAACAGCAAACAAGTAGGCCAGCATGCAGTGTGCAGCAGGAGTCATACCTTGACAAGCTGGTATTGATCCAAAATCAGCGACATCACCCGAGACGGAACAACTTAGCACGTTGCTCGTGCCTGTTGAAAGCCGATATCCCTGATTGCACTTATACACAGCTGAAGAGTAAAACTTTTCTGAAGAGTCAGAAACAGCAACTTGAATTCCCGGATTCACAACACCATTGGTGATTGCTGCTGGCTCGCTGCACAAAGCTGCAAAGTACAAAGATTGCCCGAATACATGCCATTAATTATTATATTGCAGTACAATGGTGCTGATTTGAACCTCAATATTCCGGCAAGTAACTTCTAACTATCCAAAACTGTATGTTAATTAAACCCAATATCATGTATGTCAGATTGAAATAAGCAAGACCTTCAAATTAAATTTGAAAGCATTGGGACACCTTTAAATTCAAAGGATAAATCAGGGAAGTGAACTGCCTGAAAGGTTAGAGTCCTGGTGAGGTTGGCATTCTTTTCTCTTTCCAGACAGTTCACTTCCCCGACTGATCCTTTGAACCTTCAAAACCATAATTTGAATTATTAGTACTGTAAATCAACAAACTTTCTACGAGACTCGGAGAGAGATAGCATAAAAATGGACTACAGTCTATTCATTGGAAACTGGCACCCCAACTTTCTGGTGTCTCTCTCACATAGTTGTAGATATCGTGAAAACAACAGTACATCCTGCGTTGTGTGACCCGTGCAATTACTCCTTGCCACATTTTGAGGCCAGAAAAGTCCAAGAACAGGGAAATAGAAATTCAGCCAGGTTTTACAAAATTAGGACAGGTATGCCATGGCAAAATGTATGGAGAAGCAGATCCAAAACCCAGATTTTTGAGATTTTTGATCCTCAATTCGGCCCAAATCCGACTTTCAAAAGCCAGCGGGCCAGTTCCCAATGAATGGACTGTTGAAGGAGCCATTGGTAATGTTACAACGACAGCCGTGACTGTAGTATACACCTCGATGTTCTAATGGCTACTACTCAGAAGTGTCACAGGTAAATAATGGAGTGATCATATGCAATTATTTAATCAAAACGATGGTTGGATGTTACAGAAACCCCTGGAAACAGGAGCTGGACGTTGCAGGAACCTCGCATTTTGCTTCACAAGAGTCTCAAAGTGAAAACAGCCTTGCAATTAAGAGTGTCTAAAACTGATGGAGGCAAAAACTGCAGTGAACTCATGGTACGGAATCATACCTGATGATTAACACCAATCGAAAGAAGAGAAACAAAAAATACGTTATCGGCAAGCCACCACAGGTGTGCTGCCCTCTTATGTAACAAGGAAGAGAAGGACGTATATAAAATATACCTCTGCAGTTTCCAACTCCTTCCCAATTGCCAGTTGCTGAGTTCTTGGGGCATGTAGCAACTGAGTTGCCTTCAACACGTGTATAGCCAGTTGCACAGGTTACTTGGCCAGTAGTTCTGTTAACACTGGCGATGTTCAATTCATGGAAGTTACAACCTGAAGAGAAAAAAACGCAAAACAAATACCAGTAAGGCAACGTGGAGCCAATAATCTCAATAGTGCAATGAATAAAACTACAGGCGCACTCATAATAAATCACAATCATGGCAATGAATAAATTGTTCCAGAACCAGTTAGTCGTAGAACGTCAGTACTGTCGGTCAGTGTCGTGCAATGTTATCGCATGAGCTGATTGTTTAGTACCCGGCGGTGATAGTGGACATCATAGCGTAACTTGAGGTTCCCTGGTCCTTTTTATTTTCTATAAAGAACATTTTCTCATCAAAATATTATTATCAATGGAAACTCGTGACTGAAGATAGTATCAAAATAACAAAAGGATTTAGACGCTTAGGGCATGATCGATTGGGCGAATCCTGAGCAAGTGTGCTCAGAGTGAGCGGGATCGTTTGGTCGAATCCGACCAAATCAGGAGTAGGTGTACTTAGAGTGGAATCCGACCACACCGGCCCACACACCGGGAGTGGCTGGAGTGGAAATGGACTTTGCTGTTTCTGGACAGCTTTCACAGAATCTTTGTACGATATGCGTACATTTTGCGTACTACACCCTTGTTTGGTTTGGGCCAGCGTTGCTCGGACCACACCGCCTGCTCGCACTCAATCCAGATTCGCCAATCGATGACACGCTAAGGGCCCGGTCACACATGCACTGGGATTCGCTTCGGCGACGAGGTTCGGCGGCAGCGAGCCTGGTGTCGCTCCAGCGAAACCACGTGTGTATGGTCACACATACAAACAGGGCACAACTCCTACTTTGGCGGAAAATGAGACTGTGGTGCATACGGTACGGAGAATGGACGAGGTCAATGACTATCTTGCACGCATTTTTGTTGCATGGCCATCACACGCATACAAATTTCTCGTAGCAAGTCCAAATACAGCAGACCGTCGTGTTTTCCGCTGAAGCGAATCCGCAGAAGCGACAGTCTCGCTTCGAAAATTTTGGAGGAAGCGGATTGGAGTTTCCGCTGAAGCGGAAGTTCCGCTTTTCGCCGTTGCCATGCCATTTTTCGCTCCTGCGACCTCGCTTCAGCGTATACGCTACTTTCGAGTGCATGTGTGACCGGGCCCTTAGAGTGACAAAAATAAGGATACGAGTAAATATGTGGCACATGATGGAAAAGAGAATATCCTGGTAAGTGAGAGTTCCCATAGATAATTGTGACGAGAAAACGTTCTGGACTAGTTTATTTGCTGCTATTATTGTGATATGAGTGAGCTAATTAGTTTTATTCATTGCATTATTGAAATGGAAGTAAAACTCACCAATCTGGCAAGATAGCAGAATCGTTGCAACAAAAGTTCAGACAAACGATTAACTGCTGACGAATTACGTTAGTACAGTCAAACCTCTTTAGCCCGAACACTAATAAACCGAACTTTCCATTAGTACGAACTAGGGCCAATCCTATGGTTGGCCAGGTATCAAATCAAGTCGAAATTATTTGTCAATGACAAACTCCTGAACGATGATCTATTTTCAAACGTGGTTTGAACAAACTGCTGACGAAACACGTTAGTAACTTAGTACCACAAGCAATCAGTCAGTCTGAAGCTCCTATCCCATGCAATGCGTACAAACGTTCTGGACTAGTTTATTTGCTGCTATTATTGTGATATGAGTGAGCTAATTAGTTTTATTCATTGCATTATTGAAATGGAAGTAAAACTCACCAATCTGGCAAGATAGCAGAATCGTTGCAACAAAAGTTCAGACAAACGATTAACTGCTGACGAATTACGTTAGTACAGTCAAACCTCTTTAGCCCGAACACTAATAAACCGAACTTTCCATTAGTACGAACTAGGGCCAATCCTATGGTTGGCCAGGTATCAAATCAAGTCGAAATTATTTGTCAATGACAAACTCCTGAACGATGATCTATTTTCAAACGTGGTTTGAACAAACTGCTGACGAAACACGTTAGTAACTTAGTACCACAAGCAATCAGTCAGTCTGAAGCTCCTATCCCATGCAATGCGTACAACTCCTCACCCTGACAAGAGATTCCATTTCCATAGAAACCATCGTTGCAAGCGCATGAGAATGATCCAAGAGTGTTTATGCAGGCTGCTGATGAGTCACAGTTATGTGCAGTGGATGCACATTCATCGAAATCTGTCATAGGAAAAATTGTAAAAAAGAACATAATTTTACACTGCACAGAAACACACACTTCCATATTAACATATTAATTATTATTATTATTATACTGATACAGGTGAACCGACACTGCATAGTTGGTAGGCAGCTGCCATCTACAATGGAAGTTTGGCTATAAATTAAGTTCCATAGGTAAGCACCAATGAAAACATAAAAACAATATGCAATTGCTCACCATCACATGTAGGTCAAAATCAGACATAAGGAAAATAGCAGGTTTGGTGATGAACCTGCGTTCTGTTTTCTTATTTCGAGCAAGCACTTGATGAAACCATTTGTTCATTCTGTCAACTTTCACTCAGAGTCGAAATGATAACAAGACCTACACAATCAAGGCCACTCGCAATAGCTCCGAAGCCTACACACTCAGTCAGGGAGGCCACGTCAACTTGGAGGTATGCTCTGAGAATCCCATACGCACTGTAACAAAATATTCATGTATACTTACCCGTTTGGCACTTGTTCCCGGTAAATTCTTTCGGGCATGTGCATTTGCCCTTGTCGTCACACTGACCCTGGTTCAAACACTTACATCCTGCAGCATCCATCGCATACGCACAAAGTGACACAGAGAAAATGTGAATGCATGGGACGTTAGGGGTCGGCCGTAAGAACTGATATTTATCACACACACGCACGCACGCACGCACACACGCGCACGCCCACGCCCACGCACACACACACACACACACACACACACACACACACACACACACACACACACATACACACATATGTACGAAATACAGCGCTCCTGACCCTGACTGGCGCTGGCACTACTACGTTACACTTATCATGATCTTACTTACTGACACAGAGGATTTGGGCTCTGTCATTGCTTCTGGTGCGGTGAAAATCTTGATTGTTCTCGCTAAATGTTACGGTTCTGTAAAGGGAATCACCATCGACCCGGATTGCCTTGACGTGGTAAGCGGCTTGGTCATGTTCATGCTTCAGAGCCAACCTCTCGAGCCCGCGCTCTCTTAATACATGGCCATGTGCTCGCAGCCAGTCTTCGGTTATGAGGTGAAGTCCGTACTGCTGACATGCCTCCTCTGCGAACGGCTCGGTGACAATACGTCTGGATGCTGGGGTTGCTGCGGTATATGCTGAGTTGTTGGCGTGAAGCCACTTGGCTGCAAGACAAGGGCACATCCAGGGGTGGGTAGAAAATACAAATACGCAATATGAATAAAGGGTGCACTGGAATCTATCTCAATGCAACCGGATAAATCAGTGTAATTGTTTTTCCTTATTCGGGAGCCAGGTTAAGGTATCGGTCAATATTTGCAAGCATGGGGCTGGGAAGACTTCATGGAGCAGCACCGTGCCATAGTTGCAAATCACCCAGCGAGTATGCCAGGAGTACATAACCCCCAGAGTGTGCAACTGCCACATACCCTGCTGTCCCAACAGACTTTCAAGTTGCTCCTTGCACCAGTGATGTACAACATGTGTACGGGTGTCAATGCATCACACCGTTTTCCTTGCAAAACAATTGTACAGGATCAGATAGGCTTTGGTTCATCGTCAACTTGAAACTCTTTGGGGATTGTGTACTCTTGGTTATACCAAAGGAGTGGAAAAATATTGGCAAGAGTACAAAGAAAAACAAGTGATGCGTTGACACTCGTACACATGTTGTTAATCACTGGTGCAAGAAGCAGTGCATCATATTAATCATGTCACCTTGAAATTCTGTCGGGACAGCAGGGTATGAGGGAGTTGCACACTCTGCGGGTTATGTACTCTTGATGTCGGGTTATTACACAAGTGTGTTCACCTCATGACCTTGCTCGTTCCTCATTTCTTTGGTCAAATTGGGCTATCCGAAGGCTACCCAATTACGTTATGCGGAACCTCTCTAATAACAATACTCGAATATTCGAACATGATTCGTTCGGTTTGTCGCATTCGAATATTCTCGAAGTCGCATTCAAGTACTTGTGGCGTCACTTTGAATGCAGTGCATGTACATACATGCACGCCAAACACAGCACAGTACAGTGTGTACAGCCTGCCTGTGATTTTGTACTGCATGTTTGCACATGTATGTGCATACTGGACTGCCAATGTTGCACATAAGATGTATGAACTTCGAAGTAGCCTTATGTGGCAGTGCATTTTTATGTGGCACTAACGTTTGTCATACCTAATAACAAGAGTACATAACCCCCAGTGTGTGCAACTCCCACATACCCTGCTGTCCTGGCAAAATTTCAAGTTGGCGTCATTATTTATGACGCAATGCTCCTTGCACCAGTGATTTACAACATGTGCACGGGTGTCAACGCATCACACGTTTTTCTTTGCAATGATTTGCACAGGATCAGATCGGCTTGGGTCAACCACAGGTTCCGGATTCGTCTGATAATCCGTGTACAGTGTGCATTGCATCATCAAAATGATGTCAACTTGAAATTCTGTCTGGACAGCACCCATAGTCGAGTTGCACACTCTGGGGGGTTATGTACTCTTGCTAATAATAATCACATGAAATGTTTCTCTGCACATGTGGTCAGTTGGCTACTCATGTGTGGATCTGACCCTGGCTAGAACCGTAGGTTTCCCATTGACGTGAGAAACCTTGGTTGTAATCGCTCTTGCTCTCTGTTTCAGTCCTCTAATATTGTCAATATCATTGTCTACTCTAACCACCCATTGCTGGCTACTCAGCACCTCTCTCACATGTTCTTTTTCTATCACAATGCAACAGCATACCTTCGCAGATGACATCATGATGGCCTGCTCCGGTTCTATCATGTACCTCTTCTCTTAAGCCGTTCTTGCCCTGCTTGTACAAGAGATGTGTCTTGGTAGCATCCCTCAACTCTCTCAAGAAAGATGTCCATATTGTGATAGGGCTCTTGAAACTGCTCTCCATCATCTCGTTGAGCAATGCTTCCATGCAGTCGCGCACATTCAGAGCCCAGGAAATGAAGGCATGAAATTCGACCACGTCGTATCCTCTTCTCTTGCACATCTGGCGGGCATGCGTCAAGTTCGTTTTCTTCTGGCAGCTGTCACCGTCCAGGTGTGGATGACACGGCAAGCTGGCGAGAGCCATCCAGGTGTAGGTTGCGTTATCTGTACCCAGGCACTTTGTCTTAAAAGCTGAACATAACACAGTACACATGCAAAGTACATTCTTGTACAGTAGAAGTAGTAGTAGTAGTAGAAGTAGTAGAAGTAGCAGTAGTAGCAGTAGCAGCAGTAGTAGTAGCAGCAGCAGCAGCAGCAGCCGCAGCAGTAGCCGCAGCAGCAGCAGCAGCAGCCGCAGCAGCAGCAGCAGCAGCAGCAGCAGCAGCAGCAGCAGCAGTAGTAGTAGAAATAGTAGTAGTAGTAGTTTTTATTATTTTACTTGGGTATACCCAACAGGCCTATGGCCTTCTTACAGGGTACCTAAGGAGAAATTGTGAGCAGCTAGCGCGAAAGCAGGCAAAGTACGCTGGGATGGAATGATAGCGGGTAGTGCATTAAAGCGGTAAAAACTAAGAAAACTAATGGGAGACTGTAAAGGCCTGGCCGGGACATGAATGGGGGAAGAAATGTACTACTGAATGTTTGGCCTCTGGTTTGGGAGGTAGTGTGGGTAGCATCATTTCGGGTCGTGAAGATTTGGGAGATGAGGGGACTGCCAAGGGACCCGATTCACCGAAAAGTAAAAATGAAAAGCTTAAGAGTGAGGCGTAGGCTGAGTGGGTGGAGGTACAGTAGAGCATGACTGGAGTACACACTCTATTAAGACATATACTGCCCCCCCCCCCTATTGATACCGTAGTCCATTTCAAGTATATCCGTGTTTATCTGAGTAAAATGCACATCCCCTGAGCATAATTTTCACATTTCGCAGCTGCATGTGTTTCAAAGAAACATGCATAATTATACACTTCATTCAGAAGTTACTTACTCTGCTGACACAGGTCTCCATGGAAACCTTTCTGGCAGACGCAGGTACCGTCTTCAGCGCACTTCCCATGATTCAAGCAATGGCATACTGCAGTAGAGATTGGGTGCATTCACGTATTTCCCAAAACAGAGATAGGAACAGACCACCATACAATATCAGACCCTAAAGAAGTTAGTATCACCAACTCAAACCCATAATAAATAATATGGTATCTATTATTGCACGTAAATAGCACAAAATAGGTTGGAGGTTTGAGTTTGCACCGCCGAGATAAGAGAGAAAAATTTTCCTTACAATGATGAGTATGATTCTAGAAATTGTAAATATACCCATGGGTCATACACTCGTTGGCACGCGGCCTAAAATGACAGCAGCTTTCTTTTCCCCTTATAATTCAAGACTATTACAGCTGTTTTTTTAGCCCTTACCTTCTGTGCAATTAGGTCCATCTAGTCTGGGTTTACATTCACATTCTTTGTTCTTTTTCACCCAGGGATTCGTGCACACAACTGCATCGCATATCACACACCGAGGGGAAAGAAAAAAGGAGAGCAAATCAGCCAGACACAAAATGGACAGACAAAAGACTGAGAGACAAATAGATGTTTTACTCAGTAGGCAGCCATTGTCCTATAAACAGTCAGAAGTCCAGTAGGGAGTCGAACTCATCATACCGTCATATTTGCACGACTTCGTTAAACGCGGGCGACTTTCTCTGTAGAAAGTCTACACATTTCCACAGTTCGACACATTTCCAGTGCGCAGTCTGAGTTTTCGTCAACTTGGATCATGTGCCCACTTCATCCATCAGCCATGGACTGGGTGCAGAATAGCCTGAACTTCGCACCAGCACTCAATGCAAGACAGAGCAGCTATAACGACAGTCGGAGTCTTGGAGTCTGCGTTTGAGCCGCTCACACGCGGAGCTGAAGCCAGTGGAAAGGACACCATCGCCAGCTAGTCGACATTCTGGCATAACTTGACGTAGCGTGGAGGCCAGCCATCCCTTCGGTGCAAATACAAAGCTGCACGTATAGCACTGGTGTACAGCAACGGAGACGGTTTAAACTCATTGGTCTTTACTTCATTGGTTTGAGGGAAAGATGTAAATGGGAACAGTCTGGAGAAAACATTGACCATCACCACCAGGACTCGAGCCAGTGACCGCTTTGGTCTTTTCTTCTGCTTCAAGGCAATCTAAAGTCTGTAGTCTTGGCTGCTGCAATATTAGATTGCGTTTGGTTGGGCATTTCCAGATTGTAAATGACAACCATTCTGGAATGGGAATGGGTAAGAATCACCTGACTAAACAAACGCGCCAGAATCAACTAGGAATCACTTGACATAACAATTCCATAATGTCGTTGTGGAACGGCGGCTCTCTTCACTTTTCCTTGGCAGAGTCAAGGTACTCCCGAGTGCATGATTTGAGGCACTTGAACCTGATGCTGCTAGTATTCCTAGCAAGAACTTGAGCAAAATGGGGTTCTGCTTTCTTCACACATAGTTGAAACACAGACAAAGGCTGCATACTCAGGGTCACTCGACACAGCTCCGAAAAATCGCGGCGCAAAAGTGCTTTTTGTCGGGGAATTTTCTGGAAACAATTGTTGATGTTAGGTCTTTATAAGGCACAGTAATGGTGCAAAATTCAAGACTATGTCCAGAGCATTGCATACTGTAAAAGCAGAAATTTTCGGTGGTGTTTTATTTTCGGTAACTTCGGTGTCGACAATTTCTACCGAAAATAAAACGCACCGAAAATTTCGGTACAACCGGTACTGTATACATTTAGTACTAGTACATCTACCTGGAAAACGGGTTTTACCGAAAATTTCTCTCTACCGAACCGCCGATTTTGGTGAATACCGAAAATATTACACCACCGAAAATTTCTGCTTTTACAGTATGTGCCATTTTATCAATTGTCAAAATGGCCGCCTATGCTCCTGTTGGAGCTCTAGAGACACTGTCCAAAGTGAATCGTGGCGAAGACCTAATGTTTTCATTACGACATTAGCCTGCCAAGGCAGTGGAATGCAAAAATCCATAGTACGTTTCCATGGTTACCATGGGCTATTTCCATGGAATTTCATAGTATACCTTCTGCGATCACGTCTAAAATCTGTGGACTCCTTCATTAATCCCATAGCAACAGTTTAGGGTCAGGTTTTAGGTCAGCTTCATAACTGTGCAGCATGTCTCTGTATGATGGCCCTACCGGTAGGTCCTACGGGTAGGACCGAGGTCTATGCAAGCTATCAATTATGTTACACAAATTTTGGCTCAGCTTATCTTTTCAATTGTTTTATTAAACAATTATTCGTTGGTTTTTGAAACGCAGTCACTGGATGCCACGTCAACATGGAGGTATGCTTCGGGAAGAGCTGTAAGCATTCATACTTACCCAATTGGCACTTGTTCCCGGTAAATTCTTTCGGGCAGATGCATTTACCCTTGTCGTCACAATGACCTTGATTCAAACAGTTGCATGCTGCATCAGCCATCGCATACGCACAAACAAGACGTGAGACAGAGGAAATGATGGTATGTTATAGGCTACTCATACTACGTTACAATACGCGTGACGTTTTGGAGCACGACGTTCTGGCATACGTCGTTTTCATGCAGGTGCATTCACACAGGCACTCACATGCTGCTCAAACAGCTGCGTGTTCAGCTTCTTTTGGACACAAACTGCTGGGAACGACAGAACAAAACTCGGTACAGGAGTCTGGATACGTCGTCTACGATTTCGTACTAGAGGTACGATTTTCCCGCCACGTTCCATGTTGTCATGACTATCCGGACGAAAACGTCACGTACGCCACGTTCTGGGCGTAGTGTGAATGGCCCATTAGGGGCCGGCGGTAAGTATCGATATTTACAACTCAAACCCACCCTATACCCCTCCTCTCAGAACGTGCATATACAGCACCCTGTCACGCGTGTGTCAATGCTCCTACTTCTCTGGACATGTTTCAATGTATCCTGAAAGGAAATTGGTCAACCCGTCCCAGCTCATAACAGAAATAATTTGTATTCAAAAGATTAACCCTTGATATCTACGAATGAATATAGTGAAATTTGACCACACAAAATGACCGAGCAGCTGACACAGAGAAAATGCAAGCAAGCGGTCACGTGTTCATGCGTACTCGTACACGAGTCATATGGTCACCATGCATGCAGGGCCAGTGCATGCTACAGCTTTCACACCAAGGTTCAAATTAAAGGTTCAAAGGTGCAACTCGAGTGACAGGAACGCTGTCAACGGCGTAGCCTGCAGGCATGGCAAACAGGTGACTGGTGTACGCAAGAGCACGTGACCGCTTACTTACCCTTGATGGATTGATGGATTGGGAATAGACACCCTTATCAAATAACGGTATTTTTACGATACTCGCACCTTCATCACCCAAATAGCGCTGAAGCTGCAACCTTAAAACGTTATGGAGGCTGATTTGTCGCTGTGACAAACGGTATGCTTTTTGGCCAAATGTTGCATAGTCTGTACCCATTTCACCTTGTATCACGTATATGATGACATAAATGGTTGTACCACGCGCGCGCGCGCGCGCGCGCGAAACGAGAGAGCTTGGAAGCTCAGGGCCCTACGCTATGCTTTTTTGCCTTGATGACCTAGACAAAAAAAAGCATTAGGATGTTCGTGAGAACTTTGAATGTTCGTACGCTGTGGCCTAATGTTTTAAAAAAAAATCCATTTTTTAAGACATAACCTGGGATTCGAACCCGCACTATCGCGTGCCCTGCATGCATCCCCCGATACACTTCGCATACATACTAATTCTTCCAAGTTGTTTCACATTGTGATCTTGCATTTGAAAGACCTATTTGAATATGCATTGTGGCCAGCCGTCTTTGATGGCACGCTACGGTAGGGGATAGGTACGGGACAGGTAAGATCGAGGGTAATACGACGTCTCCCGTACCGTACCATCAAACACAGCTGGCCACATACAGCTGCCCGCAATATTCAAATAGGGCTTTCAAATGCAAGATAATAACGTGAAGCAACTTGGAAGAATGGGTATGAATGCGAAGTGTATGGGGGATTGCATGTAGGGGGATAGTGCGGGTTCGAATCCCAGGATATGCCTTAAAAAAATAGGAGAATTGAAAAAATTATAACATCCTATGCTTTTTTGCCGTCAGATACGGATAGCGCCAGGCGTGACACAAACAAACAAACAAACAAACACACACACAAATACCAAATTAAAGCTGTGTGGACCCTGGCTAGCGCCAGACGTTACTGAAGTAACGTCTTCTGCATAGCTACGGGAATAAAAGCTATTCTCGTGGCAACAGCATACTAAAAATAGCGTGCATCTTGCTAAAGGTCTAACCCAGATCCCGGTATTTTCCCGCTTGCGGTAATACCATTACAACATAACGTTTTTTGCTAAGGGCCTGGTCAGAAACGAAAAAATCCTGTGATTATGATCCGAATCTCCAAAGTAACTTGCCGCCAGAGCGGCAATACCATGCTTTGCTGCTCCAAACAGGAGTTTGACGCTGATACGCCATTGACGCTGATATTCACTGATTTTTTCATCTCGATATCGAGGAGCTAATTTGGCCACGGACAACAACAAAACTCATATGCATGGTTGCAAGGTGTTGGCGATCCCCAAGGTAAAGGAATTTGACGTCGATCGCAATTCCAAATTCTGGACGCTTTTCTTTTTTCGTCAGGCAACCAGTCTGACCAGGCCCTACGGGTATCTGTCTAATAAGGGCCGAACGCTGCACCGCAGCCTTTTCGGACCAAAACCAGTCTACTCAGCGCCCAAAAGACTACAACATATGGGCCAATTGCGGTCATCCGCGCTTTTAGAATCCCCATCTAGTAGGGCGCACTCACCCAGTTTTGTTGGAAGTGCGCGAATTCGATTGGGAATAAAGGAGGAAGGGAGCGTCTCAGCTTCCTCGGACCAAGACCATTCGACCCAGAGCACCCCGAAGACTACAACTGGTGAAAATGTGATTCAGGATTCAGCGTATACTTCCCTTTAAAAACGGTCATTACAGGGTGGGGGGGGGGAGGCTATTATTCCAGAGAAGACTTCTGATCGTGTGAGCGTAGTAGCATTCAAGTTGTGAGAATTCTCAATGAAATACACGGAGTTGTATGTGAAACTGCTGGCTACACACACGTCAGGCATTACACACTCCATCTAGCTATAAATAGTGGTCACATTACACTGACGGTATCCCAACTCTTTAATTACCAGATTTTGTATGCTTCGATCTATTTCCTTAGCCTATCCTCGATTAACTGCTCCCTCTACATAAAGTTTTCATTTCATTCTTCTTGCAGGAGATCCCCTCGACAAGCCCAAAGCCTTTGGGAAATCCAAATATAATAAAATTCAAATACATCTGGCAGATCTCCGCTGTTTTCCCGCTATCATGTTAGTGTTCTTCACCTTCCCTAAAATGGGTGTACTCAGATTATCAAACACGCGCACGCTTGCACACACACACACACATACACACACACACGAATTTTAAGGCCTGCTGTCTTACCCTTTTCACATCGTTCGCCGTAGGATGTGGTGCGGTTACACACACAACTCATGTTTGCTGCAACACCATTGTTCTCACAGAATTCTGTGCAGAAAAAGAATACGAGCAGCTCAATTGCGTTACTCTTCTACAGTTTATGAAAGTAGAATGCCAATTATCTAAATGATTGCTTATCCAAAAACGTGCTGTTCAAGACATTTGTGTTATGTTCCCTGACGGAAAAGCATTCTCTCTCGTTGAATCCTTATACATGCTCCCTAAAACGATCAGTCAAAGGAGGTTTCTTGGTTAGGTATTCCCACCAACAACAACAATCAAAATTTGAGCATGCACAATGCATGGTATGATATGGGGGGCAGGGGGAGAGGGCAAGGACTTTTGCTACAAGGACATGTTTGAAAAGGACATGTTGAAGCAAGACACAGGGATAAGGGACAGGGAATGGCTATACTGCTTGCGCATAGCCAGTCATTTATTATCGCCTCACTTACTGACACAGAGGATCCGGGCTTGCTCATCGCTTGGGGCGTTGTGAATCGTATGACTTCCGCTGCTAAACGTTACGGTTCTGTAATGGTGTTCGCCATCCGCCGAGATTGGTTCGACGTGGAAGGGCTTGGTGCCGTGATGAGGGTTATGCTCTATAGGCAATCGTTGTAGCCAGCGCTCTCTGAATACATGGCCATGTGCTTGCAGCCAGTCCACGGTTATAAAGTTTAGTCCGTACTGCTGACAAGCTTCACGCGCAAAAGGCTGGGTAACGGCACGTCTCGATGCCGGTGTTGCTGCGACGTATGCTGAGGAGAAAGCATGAATCCATTTAGCTGCAGGACAACAGACAGGTATAGAGGCATTTGGAGAAACATTAAAAAAGCACAGCAGGAAGCAAGCCTGAAGAATGGGCTTCCTGGAAATTGCTGGCACGTTCCATGAATTTCGACATAATGGATAGGTCAGGCCCCCGAAACAGTGCATACCGTATTAATTAGAAAAGCAATCCTGTCAGCTTTTCTATTATTGTGGTCACAATGCAAGACCAAACGGCACCGATATTTGACACGTTGTCTACGTAAGTTTTTACGTAAGGTGCTTGGTACGTACCTGGACCAGGGAGCACTACTCCATGGCTTGTACCATCGCGTGGCCGGTGGCGTGCGTGTGCATGGCAGACATTTTTTTTGTAATCCGTTTTCTCAGTTGTACGCACTACGCCATTTCCCGCCTCAGATCTCCGCCGTGACAGACACCCATAGTAGAAAAGGCCCCAAGCTGCACACTCTGGGGGGTTATGTACTCTAGATATCATTCATACCCACCAAAAGATGTGTAACATTTTATTATTATGGTGTGCCTTGTTTATCTATCAGTACCTCCAACCATAGCCTTGCCCCTATATCCTCAGGAGCATCAGTGTAGTTCTTGGAATAAGGTGTTCGAATCAACAATTTATTCGTTTACATTTCTATAATACATATCTATTATTCCTCCTTTGTCTCAAAATAGACAGAAGCGGAAGGGTTAGCATTTGCTGCCTTGTACGCGAACTGTTCTATTATTATTTCTCCTTTATTCACTTCTTTCGAAGGCGATAAGCCAGACCCACCGGGAAATATTTCCATGGGTGGGACAGCAAAAAAGAAAGTGAAAAAACAAAAGCAAAAATAAATAAATAAATAAAACCTAAAAACCAAAGGGACAAGAACTAGTTGAAGGAAGAGGAAGAAAGGAAAGAAACTCAATCCGAACTCCAACATCAAAACAATAATAAAGAATTTGCAGCGACAGGCAAAATACATCAACCAATGAAGGGAGTAGTAACAAAGGAAATATCAGTCTTTATCAGTCGTTATTCAAGTCTCTTAGCTATTGAACATGCAAACGCAGCAGAGGTGCATCTACATGTTAAGGATAGTTCTCAGTATTTTAATCGAACCTTGTATAGCCTCCTGTTGCACAATAGCCAGGTCTCCTCCCTGCACAGTCCGAAGGCTTTGAGGAGTCTCCCCCACCAAGCCTCCCAGGGCACCGACAACCACAGGGACCACGTCAACCTGGTTGAGGGACCAAATCCTCGAAATCTCCCGCTTCAAATCATAATATTTCGAGCGCTTTTCAGCCATTTTCTTATTGATGTTGTTCTCACCAGGAACGCTGATGTCTATAATGTAGGCGATGCGCTCCTTGTCATCAACAAGGAGCAGATCGGGCCTGTTTGCTGATAGTTTCAGGTCAGTTGGGACCGAATACTCCCAATAGAGGCGATACTGATCACTCTTGACCAATGCCTTGAGCTGGTGGTCGAATCGTGAAGCACCAGTAGGTAGATCTCGTGCTTTACACATTTCGAAGTGCACATACTTTATTATTATTATTATTATTTGAACTGGTTTTGAGGGAAAGAGACATTTATTATTATTTGTATTATTATTGGCAGTAGCAGTTGGCAGTAGCGGCAAGGAATGTCAGGTCGGTTTCATTGTCACGTAATTCCAAAGTATGTACTGGTTCTAGTAGCGGTGTTAGGGTGTATGAATCTTCTGTTGCCAACCATCTTGTTCAGAATAGTGATTGTCGTTCTAGTTATGCTGATGAGTGCTTTTCTGTTTGGTCTCGTTCACGTAGTCAAAGGTATTTGCGTGTATTGGAGTCTATCTACATTTTTACCACTAAGCCGATTTTGTGTAGGCAGAAAAAGAATTTGTTTACGTTGAAATTGTTTGTGAATTTAGATCAGTAGTTCTCGTTTGTGGTAGCATGGTAACTTTCTAGTGGTGAATTTATCGCATCTGTTGTCACCTGATATCGTTGAATGGTGTAATGTTTCTTTCAGCTCTCATTTTATCGCGCTAGTTAGGGTTATGTTGTTGTCACTTTTATTATTTTCCGTGCTAAACTTGATAATTTTCCACCTTGTCACGAGAGTTGTTATCTAATTATCTTTACGCTATATAAGTTTTAGTCTTTCCAACTTGAGCCATTCCCTGTATAATCCTTGATGAGAAGGGACCGAAAACGTTCGGATACTTATGACAAGTGCATTATTATTATTATTATTATTATTATTATTATTGCACATAAGATTTCGAAGTAGCCTTATGTGGCAGTGCATTTTTATGTGGCACTAACGTTTGTCATACCTAATAACAAGAGTACATAACCCCCAGTGTGTGCAACTCCCACATACCCTGCTGTCCTGGCAAAATTTCAAGTTGGCGTCATTATTTATGACGCAATGCTCCTTGCACCAGTGATTTACAACATGTGCACGGGTGTCAACGCATCACACGTTTTTCTTTGCAATGATTTGCACAGGATCAGATCGGCTTGGGTCAACCACAGGTTCCGGATTCGTCTGATAATCCGTGTACAGTGTGCATTGCATCATCAAAATGATGTCAACTTGAAATTCTGTCTGGACAGCACCCATAGTCGAGTTGCACACTCTGGGGGGTTATGTACTCTTGCTAATAATAATCACATGAAATGTTTCTCTGCACATGTGGTCAGTTGGCTACTCATGTGTGGATCTGACCCTGGCTAGAACCGTAGGTTTCCCATTGACGTGAGAAACCTTGGTTGTAATCGCTCTTGCTCTCTGTTTCAGTCCTCTAATATTGTCAATATCATTGTCTACTCTAACCACCCATTGCTGGCTACTCAGCACCTCTCTCACATGTTCTTTTTCTATCACAATGCAACAGCATACCTTCGCAGATGACATCATGATGGCCTGCTCCGGTTCTATCATGTACCTCTTCTCTTAAGCCGTTCTTGCCCTGCTTGTACAAGAGATGTGTCTTGGTAGCATCCCTCAACTCTCTCAAGAAAGATGTCCATATTGTGATAGGGCTCTTGAAACTGCTCTCCATCATCTCGTTGAGCAATGCTTCCATGCAGTCGCGCACATTCAGAGCCCTGGAAATGAAGGCATGAAATTCGACCACGTCGTATCCTCTTCTCTTGCACATCTGGCGGGCATGCGTCAAGTTCGTTTTCTTCTGGCAGCTGTCACCGTCCAGGTGTGGATGACACGGCAAGCTGGCGAGAGCCATCCAGGTGTAGGTTGCGTTATCTGTACCCAGGCACTTTGTCTTAAAAGCTGAACATAACACAGTACACATGCAAAGTACATTCTTGTACAGTAGAAGTAGTAGTAGTAGTAGAAGTAGTAGAAGTAGCAGTAGTAGCAGTAGCAGCAGTAGTAGTAGCAGCAGCAGCAGCAGCAGCCGCAGTAGCCGCAGCAGCAGCAGCAGCAGCCGCAGCAGCAGCAGCAGCAGCAGCAGCAGCAGCAGCAGTAGTAGTAGAAATAGTAGTAGTAGTAGTTTTTATTATTTTACTTGGGTATACCCAACAGGCCTATGGCCTTCTTACAGGGTACCTAAGGAGAAATTGTGAGCAGCTAGCGCGAAAGCAGGCAAAGTACGCTGGGATGGAATGATAGCGGGTAGTGCATTAAAGCGGTAAAAACTAAGAAAACTAATGGGAGACTGTAAAGGCCTGGCCGGGACATGAATGGGGGAAGAAATGTACTACTGAATGTTTGGCCTCTGGTTTGGGAGGTAGTGTGGGTAGCATCATTTCGGGTCGTGAAGATTTGGGAGATGAGGGGACTGCCAAGGGACCCGATTCACCGAAAAGTAAAAATGAAAAGCTTAAGAGTGAGGCGTAGGCTGAGTGGGTGGAGGTACAGTAGAGCATGACTGGAGTACACACTCTATACTGCCCCCCCCCCCCCCCCTATTGATACCGTAGTCCATTTCAAGTATATCCGTGTTTATCTGAGTAAAATGCACATCCCCTGAGCATAATTTTCACATTTCGCAGCTGCATGTGTTTCAAAGAAACATGCATAATTATACACTTCATTCAGAAGTTACTTACTCTGCTGACACAGGTCTCCATGGAAACCTTTCTGGCAGACGCAGGTACCGTCTTCAGCGCACTTCCCATGATTCAAGCAATGGCATACTGCAGTAGAGATTGGGTGCATTCACGTATTTCCCAAAACAGAGATAGGAACAGACCACCATACAATATCAGACCCTAAAGAAGTTAGTATCACCAACTCAAACCCATAATAAATAATATGGTATCTATTATTGCACGTAAATAGCACAAAATAGGTTGGAGGTTTGAGTTTGCACCGCCGAGATAAGAGAGAAAAATTTTCCTTACAATGATGAGTATGATTCTAGAAATTGTAAATATACCCATGGGTTATACACTCGTTGGCACGCGGCCTAAAATGACAGCAGCTTTCTTTTCCCCTTATAATTCAAGACTATTACAGCTGTTTTTTTAGCCCTTACCTTCTGTGCAATTAGGTCCATCTAGTCTGGGTTTACATTCACATTCTTTGTTCTTTTTCACCCAGGGATTCGTGCACACAACTGCATCGCATATCACACACCGAAGGGAAAGAAAAAAGGAGAGCAAATCAGCCAGACACAAAATGGACAGACAAAAGACTGAGAGACAAATAGATGTTTTACTCAGTAGGCAGCCATTGTCCTATAAACAGTCAGAAGTCCAGTAGGGAGTCGAACTCATCATACCGTCATATTTGCACGACTTCGTTAAACGCGGGCGACTTTCTCTGTAGAAAGTCTACACATTTCCACAGTTCGACACATTTCCAGTGCGCAGTCTGAGTTTTCGTCAACTTGGATCATGTGCCCACTTCATCCATCAGCCATGGACTGGGTGCAGAATAGCCTGAACTTCGCACCAGCACTCAATGCAAGACAGAGCAGCTATAACGACAGTCGGAGTCTTGGAGTCTGCGTTTGAGCCGCTCACACGCGGAGCTGAAGCCAGTGGAAAG